TGGCCCTTCACTCCAAAAGACCTGAGTCTCTGCAGCAGGTACAGCCTGCTCTGCCCTTTTTTGTAGAAGGCGTCTGAATTATGAGTCTAGTCAAGTTTATTGTTCAGATAAACACCAAGGTACCTGTAGCTGTCCACAGCCTCGATGTTCATACCTTGAATGTTTAGTAGTTGCAGTGGAGGATGTTTGTGCCTTTTATTTTATTAGTGTTGATCTGGAGGTAGTTCTGCTGGCACCAGTCCACAAAGTCGTGGGTCAGTCCTCTGTACTCCTTGTCGTCCCCATCAGTGATGAGGCCGACTATTGCAGAGTCATCAGAGAACTTCTGCAGGAAGCACTGGGTGGAGTTGTGGGAGAAGTCTGCAGTGTAGATGATGAAGAGGAACAGAGCCAGAACAGTTCCCTGTGGGGCCCCCGTACTGCAGAAGACCCTGTCCGACACACAGCCCTGATTTCTCACATACTGTGGTCGGTCTTTGAGGTAGTCTAGTATCCATGTAGTGGGGTGATAATCCACTCCTGAGTTCTCCAGCTTGTAACAATACAAATCAACAATAAACATGCCCTGAAATACACAATAAATCATGAACTCTAATAAATTTAAAAAATGCCATCAAATAAAACAATAGAAAAAAACAAGACCGTGCTTGCACAATAAAGGCCAGGATGTACTGTACCAACAAGAATAAAAAGTAGGTTTTTATAGGCGTTTTAAAATAATTGAGTGAGTGGGCATCTCTTATGTGAAAAGGTAGGTTGATCCAAAGATTAGAGGCCACCACTAAAAATACTCTCTCACCTCCCATTTTTACGCCTACATTTAAGAATCTACATGAGCAGTTGGTTCATAGACATTATTGATGTAGTCGGGGTGTATGGCTATAAAAGTTCAGTAGTAGGGTGCAGTAGGTGCAGTTTTATTTATATATGTACTTTATATTGTAAGTAGTTATATTGTAAGTCTTTAGAATAACACAAAGAAAACAGAGAAACCCCAAAAATCAGAAGCAGCTGAAGCATGTTGGATCATTAGTACATCCTATGAGTACTATGAGGGAATTATAATAGTTGAGCCTAGAA